ATGTTTTGGCTTATGATTCCGAAGTTATAGCTGATTAAAAATTTTCCGGCCTATGGGAGGTGCCACTCCCCTTGCAAAATTGACTATATAGCTTCAAATAAAACCATACCTATAGCCTTCCCAGGGTAAAAACAAATAAGTGTGCAAAGTTTCGTGCGATTCCGTGTCGCGGTTCAAAAGTTATAAGGTAATAAACAAACCGACATTCACATTTATATATATAGAAGATTTCAGAGTAAACAAACTTTGCGCCTGCCAAAATTATTATAACCTCAAATCGCTGGTATTGCCAATTTATTTCACATTTCATTTGCGCTATTACCCTCGATTACACTATACACTTCTCCCTCTTTTTTTACTTCAACCTAAATAAAATATTCTAACCAAAATATAATAGCAAATTTCGTTATACCATGGCAACGCTACTTTCATGGTTTAGTTATTTCAACAGAAATTAAAAGTAAGCGTCATGGAGTGCCACAAGTTTGATTTTACCATTACAACCTTTCATTATTTATCGAAATATTTATTTTTATGGAAAAAGGTCCGCAGGCGAATATTTTTAATAAAAAATCGCTCGATTTTTTATTAAAAATTTTCATTATTTATCGTATTGACTTTTATGGAAAACCCGCCGCTGGCGAAAATTTTTAATAAAAAAAGCGCGATTTTTTATTAAAAATTTTCATTATTTATCGAAGTATTGATTTTTATGGAAAAAGCGCCGCAGGCGAAAATTGTTAATAAAAAAACGCGCGATTTTTTATTAAAAATTTTCATTATTTATATATAATATATCAAATGAAATAAGATTTATTTATTTATTTATTTAAACTACGTATCATACAAATAAATTTATACAATATGGAATGGTGCCGAGTAACAAGACTATTAGCACCGATTTAATTTAAAACATAGTGAGGAAGTATAGAGATTATTCTAATTAGTTTGATTTATTAGACTTATATGTATTTAGATGTCTTCAAGGACGCCTTTTTGCAACAGCGCTCTACGTATTTCAGAATATGTTTCGGCTTTACTACAGTCCAATAATTCATGCAACGGTTTAACAGAACGAGTCTCTGGGCATTCTTTAAAAATATGTTCCACGGTGAGGTCAGAGCGGAATGTGCTACATTGGGATACCTGCTCCCTTTTTTTTTAGATTTTTAGTTGTAAACCGAGTTACACCAACTCTGATACGTGCAATCGCGATACACTGTTGTCGGGAGTAAACATGATTGTATTTAGGTCGTGTTATTGTTTTGTTGCATTTAGTAAAAAAGTGGTTGGACAAGTTCCATTTCTCCTTATAATTCTCCATTTTAGTACCTTTGAAACAAGCTAAAGGTAATGTATATAAGGGTGGAACTTCAGCAACTAGCGGTAGTGTTAGTGCCTCCTTAGCTAGACGGTCAGCGTACTCGTTTCCAGAGATTCCACAGTGTCCAGGTACCCACAATATGCTGATTGTTTTACGAATTTTGAGCCCATTGAATACAAATTTAAAGTTGTTTGCTTCGGTGTTACGTAAAGATTGGATGACGCTGAGGCTGTCTGAGCATATGAGGGCTTTATTATTTTCAAGACTTGCCATTCTAACTGCGGAACGTAGAGCACACAGCTCGCTATGAAATATGCCAGCATGTGTTGGAAGTAGCGCCTGTTCCTCAATTTCAAAGTTAGTGCCACTTGTTTGTTTAACGACAGCGTAAGTTGAAACTCCTTCAGAAAAGGATCCGTCCGTATAATAAATTGTGTCAGGGGCAAATTGATGAACTTTTTCCGCAAACAGGGATCTATATATATCAGGATTCACGTCGTTCCTCGTTTTTTCGGTTAAGCTGAGGTCAAGCGTTACATAAGTGTGTCCTTGCAGTAATTCATCGCACAGAGGAGTGATGATTGGTAAGCCACTTGATTTCATAAATTGGACGATGTTGAAAACTGCGGATCTGTTACTACTTTTTGGTGGAATACCGAGGCGTCTTGAACGAGGGAGGATAGTGCTGCTTTGTTGGATGAATAAGTATTAGCACCTAGATTTACTGCTCGTTTGTGTAGTATTGATACAAAGTCACTATACTTCGCTTCATTTCTTAGTGCTTCAATCGGAGTGGTTTTAAGAAGACCCGAGGCTGTGCGAAAGCAATTATTCATAGCGACATTTACTTTTTTGATATTGGCAGATGATGTCCATCCATATAGGGTAATACAATGTTGCACCGTTCCCATTACTAGGCTTTTACAAATATTTAGTGCCGTTTCCATGTGCGGACCCTTATTTCTTGAGCAGGCGACCTTCAGAAAATTATTGATGTTTTTTAATTTTGAAACTACTTGGGTTATATGCTCATTCCACAGCAGTGACTTTGTGAAAATAATACCAAGAATCCTCATCCTATTTTTTATTGGTACATTCGATTGTCGCATTCTAATGTATCGCGCGTCACAGCCGTGCTTACGACAGACGTGCAGAATTTCAGCTTTGTGTGCAGGAATGATAGCTCCTGTTTTGCTTGCCCACCTTGCCATGCGTTGATCTACTGATTTTAATGCTTGTTCAACTTGGATTGGTTTCCCGGATGCTAGTACGAAAACATTGTCGGCATAAAATGAGATGAAATCAACTCCCTCTAGGCTTCTCAAGGCTCGAATTAAGGTGTTGGCATAGGCAACGTATAGTACGACAGATAATGATGAACCTTGCGGTATCCCGTTATCCAATTTATAGAATAATCACGACTGCTTCGCTTAACTGGTTTATTCGGAATGAATCTTTGTAACAACGAGTAACAAGCGCTGCCACTTGCTTTGGATATATCCTTTTGTAACTAGCGCTGCCAGATTATTGGCATATTTACAGTGTATTCTACTACTTACATTCTACTACAGCTCGGCCAACCTGACCGGAATGATCGACCTCGATCATGTATTACGAAATACAAATAAAGATATTTACAAGGTTTTAGTTTTTCTTAAATAAATTTCTTACAGACCACTATATCTACAGTAAGTGCTGCCTTCAGCTTTGAAACCGTTCATTGTCTTCGCCATTCCTTCTCTTCCAGAGTTTAATATTGCACGCTTCGATAACGCTTTTATACGGTATTTGCGTGATCTGACCATTTTCTATATCCCTTACTACGTACCGGTCGTTGGGGAGTTTCTTATGTATTTCGTATGGGCCCTTGAATTTGGGTAAAAGCTTCTTATTACGGCCAATTGTTGTGTCCACGTTTTTGATTACTACGAAATCGCCTTCCTCAAACGTTCTCACTCCAGCACCCTTCTGTTCACTTCGGCTCAAGTTATAGTCTTGCACTTTTTTTATTTTATCTCCTGCCCGCCTACGTATTGCATCTAAATCCCTCCCCCCTGGGCCTGAAATGTACTCTTCTAGGTACTCTGTCAATTTATCCACTATTTCTCCGCGTTGGTTGACACCAAACAAAGCTTTACTCGGTGTTATTCCGATTGATCTATTCACCGAGTTGTTTAGTGCGAATTCTATTTTAGTAAGTTGTTTTACCCAGTCCCCGTGAGAGACTGGGTCACTTAGTTTTGCCAACATACCTACTAAACTTCGGTTTACTCTCTCTACTTGCCCGTTGGCTTGTGGGGAGTGCACTGCCACTTTTATTTGGGTTATGTTCTTATCTTTTATATACTCTTCAAATTCCTTTGACGTAAAACAGCTGCCCCTATCAGTTATGCATCTTTGAGGCCGGCTATAATATTCGAAATATTTGCTCAATGCTGATGTTACTTCCTTAGTGGAGGTCGTTAAGACCGGGTACAATTTTACATATTTCGTAAAAGCATCTATTATGACTAAAATGTGTTTTCGCTTCGATTGCAATGACGGAAGTGGGCCTAAATGATCTAAATGGATTGTGTGGAAAGGTTTAGGGTCCTTAGGGATGTTATGCAATTGTCGGGCGTTCGGGTTATTAGGGGCGGAATACATAATGCACTTTACACAATTTTGCTTAAGGTTGTCGATTTTGCTTTTCATGTTGGGGAACCAATAGTTCGCCTTGATTTTCTGGTAGCACTTTTCTACTCCTTGGTGACCTAATTGCTCGTGGGTGGTTCGTATTATTTCAGTTTCAAGTTCTTTGGGGACGTATAGCTGTAGAATGTCGCCGTCTTTTTTAAACACCACCCCATTTTCCATAACAAAATCTTTCATATTCTCATTTTCTAGTTTGTTCTTTAGGTTAATTATATCTTCGTCTCTGGATTGCATAACTTGCAATTGGTAGTCTAAGTCTTCACTGTCGATTATAGCAATTACATTTTCACAATCAAATTCGTTCCTACTGAGTGCGTCTACGTGCGGCATTTTAGTGCCTGCTCTATGCAATATTGAATAGTTGTAGTTTTCTAACTCTAAGGCCCATCTAGCTATTCGGCTGTTCACAAGTTTTTTATTAAGTGTCATTGTCAATGAGTTGCAATCAGTTAGTATTTTAAACTTAATCCCTTCTAAGTACACTCGAAATCTTCTTAGTGCGTAAATAATGGCTAGCGTTTCCAATTCGAAGCTGTGGTATCTACTCTCGGCATCGGAAGTTCTTTTCGAAAAAAATGCTATGGGATGAAGGTGGCCATAGTCTTGTTTCTGTAACAATATAGCGCCGAAGCCGTGTGCACTAGCATCACAGTGCAGCTCCGTCTCTTTCTTGTGGTTATATATTGCCAGCACTGGGCTCGATACTAATTTTTCCTTGAGGGTTCGAAAAGCATTGTTGCATTCTTCATTAAATTCAAAACGTTTGTTTTTCTTAAGAAGGTCATATAATGGTCGGGCGTGTACTGAAAAGGATTGAACAAATTTTCTAAAATAGGAACAAAGTCCAATGAAAGCCTGAAGTTCCCATTGATTCTTTGGAGTCGGATAATTCGTTACCGCTTTAATGTGGGATTCGGAAGGGCGTATACCGTGTTCTGACACCGTATAACCTAAATATTCAATATCACTATATGCGAATTTGCATTTGCTGAGTTTCATCTGGAGGCCATGTTCGGATAGTTTCTCTAATACTTTCTTAACTAAATCGTAGTGGGTATCTATTGTCCTACTACCAATGATGATGTCATCCATATATACTATTATTTCACCCTTCTCAATAAATTCTTTCAAAATTTTTGTTATGAATCTTTGGAAAATGGCTGGGCCATTTTTGAGTCCAAATGGCATTCTTATGAACTCATATTGTCCGTTTGGGACTACAAACGATGTATACTTAATCGAGTTTTCCTCCATTTTAATTTGAAAGAAACCTGACTTCAGATCTAGAAGGGTAAATATTTTATTACCCCCAAGATATTCCAAACAGTCTTCTATCAATGGAAGTGGGTAATTATCTGTCACAATCGATTTATTTAAGTTTCTATAATCGATGCACATTCTGGTTTCACCTGATTTTTTCTTCGTAAGGACGATTGGCGATGCATAAGGCGAGTCACTAGGTCGGATAATCTTTTTCTTAAGCAAGTCGTCTATAATTCGATTAACTTCAATTTTCTCGGCAAACGATAAACGCCTTGGTGAACAGAAGGTCGGAGTGTTTGACGTAAGTAAGATCTTAGCTTCGTAGTCAATATTCGGAAGTTCTTCAATCTGTTTTCGTACATAAGTGTTTTTTATCATAGGACGGAAGTTGTTTGACCAAGCTGAAGGTATCTGAGGGTTTACATCAATCTCATCATTTTCACTAATTTCAATATTAAAAACTTCTTTAAGTTCCGGGATTACACTGGCTGTACTTAAGATTGGAGTGGCTTTACTGGACTTACGTTTACTGTCACTATCATCAACGGAAATAAGCGGAAATTCGTTTTCTAATTTATATGTAGTATGTTTATTTGAGTAAAGAAATTCATTGTTGACGTACAGACGTATGGAAAAAGTATTTAAGAAGTCTCTTCCTAACAACAATGGAAAAGGTATTTCGTTATCGGTGAGTACGTAGACTCTTAACGGTTTAACAATGTTTTTAAATTTAATAAGTACAAATACGCTCCCTTCCGGATTCACTTTAACTCTTCCGATCCCACTAAATACACGCACACTTCTACTGTATTTTACTGTAACTGGGATGCACGACTGCCGGATGAAACTACAAGGGCTACCGGTATCAAGCAAAGAAAAAAAATGGACAAAATCAAGAAGACAATCACGGTTTCCACTGAAAGAAACACTTACCCTTTCCTTAAAGTGTACAGAACTAAAGTCGCCGTCGTCGTCCAATGCTGCTACAGTCTTGACGGGGCAGTTCCTATACTGGTGCTCCTTCGCTCCACACTTAAAACAAGACCCGGGTGCTCGTCTTTTCTCTGCGCAGTCCTTGGAGTAGTGCCCATAGCGCGAACAGTTGTAGCATCTAACTGCTGACATGTCGCCAATGGAGTTTGGTGCGCTCACTTTCTTCTCGGTTGATGCCCGGAGCCTTTCGTATTGTGGTATGAGCTTTTTGAATTTGTCAATTGTCGTCACTCCGCTAAAAATCAGTGCTTTGGCCGACTTGTCTTTTAGCCCGTCGATGATGAACTCCACCTGTTCGTATTCTTCGATTGGTGCTGACTGTGCAAGCTCTTGCATGCTCAGAACGTAATGCGTTAGGGTTTCGGATTTTTCCCAAACGCGCGTTTCCAATTGACGGAAGATGTCTTTGACACTTAGCGGCCTTTTGAATTCATCGATAAGTTGCTGTCTAAGTTTATTCCACCCGTCAATGTTGCCTATGCGTAACAATATCTGGGCGCTGCCAGTGAGCAATCGTCGCGCGATTAAAAATTTTGCCTCCTCATCGTACCCGTAAGCTTTTGCGCTGTCCTCGAACTCGCTGATCCACTTGACGATATCGCCCTTATCGTCCCCATTGAATGTACGGAAGGTTTTCTCTATTTCAGAGAAGTTGATCGGGATGCTGCGGCAGGCTTTACCTGCTTCTAACTTGTTGATTTCAGCTTTTAGCTGCAAGATGCGTAACTGTTTCTCTAGTAGTAATTCGATTGCCGTTAAATCGGAAGTACGGTTCTCGCTGATTGCGGCGTCTGCGTCGGCATTCTCAGCTGCTGCCGCGGTTACTGTTACCGCGTTTTCGTGTCGCTTTGGTGTCGCTGACGCCGTATTTTGGCGCCCATCGAGCACTTCGTGCTGATTTCCAGCTTCCACCGCCATATTGGCCACGCTTTTGGTTGTCCTTGCACCTGCACCAGTTTCTGCATCGATCGCCACTATTGCTGCATCGCTTTTGCGCGTGTCACTTACGCCGCCATTTTGATCGCCTGAAGCGCCTACGGTGGACGATAGCAGGCTGCGTAATTGGCATAATGTAGCCGTGGGCGGAAAGTGCACGCCCATGTCTTCCAGTGCTGCGGCGATTTGCCTTCTTTGCGAGGTTTCACTCATCGTTTTTCAATCACGTGGGTTTGCGTTGGGTTTTTTTTTCCGCACCTGAGCTATAGAATAATCACGACTGCTTCGCTTAACTGGTTTATTCGGAATGAATCTTTGTAACAACGAGTAACAAGCGCTGCCACTTGCTTTGGATATATCCTTTTGTAACTAGCGCTGCCAGATTATTGGCATATTTACAGTGTATTCTACTACTTACATTCTACTACAAATTTGCATTTGTCCGAAAAATAGCCATCGACACGTACTGTTACCGTACGGTTAACAAGGAAGGACCATATCAGTTTTAACATCCAGGTTGGAACGTTCCATATGCGTAACTCCTCGGTAACATAAGTAAGCACGACTCGATCGAATGCCCTTTCCAGGTCTTCAGATAAAATCAGACAATGGTTTCTACCTTCTAGACGTTCTTTGATTTTTGATTCTAGGCTATGACAGAGGGTGTGAACACCGTACTCTGGTACAAATGCATGCTGCTCTGGAAAAATGTGGCCCTTGCCGTATTGCCAAAGTCTTTTAGCGAGTACTTTCTCCAGTACTTTGGATAGCACAGTAATTAAGGATATAGGGCGATGTCCTTCGAGCTTGTTTGGAGCTTTGTGCGGCTTAGAAATAGGTACAAGGATAGCATGTTTCCACTCATAGGGATAGGTGCCTATGCGAAGGATATTGTTATAAAGTTGACATAGTCTCATTTTAAGGTCAATGGGCGAATGTTTTATCATTGTATACGTGATTTTGTCTTTACTCGGAGTAGAGCCTCCTGCTTTTCCATTTAGAACAGTGTTAATTTCGGTCAACGTTATAGGATCTATAGTTTCCTGGGAACCGCTCGATGTAATAACAAACTCTCTTTTTTGTTCTATAATTTTGTTTTGGAATGATTGATCGGATCCAATTGAACTCCAAAATTTGGCAAAGGCGTTTGCAATATCCCTAGGGTGAGTAACTGTGGATGTGTCTGTAATAAGGGATGGAAAATTCGAAATACGTGTACATCTAATTTTTTTCACATTTTCCCATAGGCATCGAATATTCATTGTAGGGTTAAGGGAATTAACGAATTTTTCCCAAGTCAGCCGTTTAGCGTGCTTACACTCCCTTCTTACTTTAGCGCTGGTTTTTTGTAGTGTATTAAATGTGTCATTGTTCTCTCTCTTCGAAATTGTTTCCAGGCCTGATTTTTTTCAAGTATGAGATTAGCAATTTCTGTGTTAAACCATGCTGGGCTATTATTTCGGTTGTTTTCATTATTCCGCGTAATTGGTATCGATTCATTTGCTGCTTTACGAATAATTTTTTTGATTAGGGCTGCCTCTCTATTAACATTAATAGAACAAGTAATTTGTGCAGAATATGAGTTTGCCTTGAGAGAAAACATTTGCCAGTTCGCTTTCGTGTCAAGAAACTTTGAGATAACTTTAGTACCAGGTATAGGATCAGGATCAAGGTCCTTGAACCTATTATTGTAGAGGGTTTCACCACCTACCATATTAATTCTAATTATATCTTATAATCAGAATAAATTTGTCAATGAACCACGCGCAAAAATATGTGGTGAAAAACAACAATAATGTTTTGCTTGTTTAACGGCAGTTCAATAGGCACAAGTATAGATCGCGAAAAACACAACCGCATGCACGGACAGTTAGTCGATGACTGAAACGAAAGAAGATACCGAAAAGCATTGAACCCTGCACACCCCTTGTAAGGAAAAGTGAATTATTACGAAATACTAATACAGTGGCAGCACTATAGCTATTTTGGAATCTCGCGTTTCAGTTCGCAAAGATTGTCATCTTCTTTTTAGTAAGTGCTCATTTACACACGGCGATTTTTGTTGCCGCAACTCGACGTTTGTAGGAGAGAGCGTGACGAGGAAAGGAGAGGGGCACCGAGTTGCTCGTGCTCGGGCAACACGCTTTGTGCTCTCGTTTATCTGTGTAAATTGAGTTAGCGATTCACAGCTGACAACAACAATTGCATACACAAAAATCGTCGTGTGTAAATGAAATGAGCAACACCAAAAGGGAATGTGAAAAATCGCGTCGACAAAAGTTTCCGTGTATAAACGCAGTCTAACAAAATAATCTATCATAGGGTTCAATCGATACCATGAACGAAAGACACAAGATCATGTAAGAACAAGAGAGTGAAAAAAGTCGATTTTTTTAGCGGGTTCTACGCCATCTTGTTTCACTGGAAAACGAGCGAAAAGTAATCAAAGCAAAGAAAACAACGAAAATCAAAATTATTGTCAGCCACTTTAAACGCACAATTTGGTAAAATGATGCAACAAAATGCTTTAAAATGTGTTGTCATGTTGAATTAACTCTTCTTTACTTGAATAAAAGTGTAAAATAGTGGTGCTTGTGATGTAAACAAACGCTCAGCTGACAAACCCGCTTTCGCAAACTTTTTTCTCAAAACCAGTTACAAATACAACGTCGCGTTCTTACGTGATCTTGTATTTTTGGTTCATGAATCGATACCACTAAGGTATCACTCTAATGAGTACTTGTACTCAAAAGACCGAAAGTATCGATACCTACTCAGTATCGGCAAAGTATCGAGTACTTACTTGAATTGGTTTCATCTTCTCTTTCGAGAGATACTTCCCTTTTTTGTTGTAAGAGGTCGTATGATTACGTCCTATCATGGTTTAAAACATTGTATGTCAAAATCAAATAAATAGCCAATAAAGTTGCAGGTATAGAAAACTTATATATATATTTAAGTTATTTAGTTGATATTTTTTTGAGCTCAAGGCCGGGTTGAAATAAAACAATCTGTTTTTGTTGTTTTTAAATCGTCTATATTTCGACTTCAGTCTGAAGTCATCATCATGCGGAACGTAGGGTATCACTTATAAATTTATCTCTAACTGAAGTTGTCGTCTTGTTGAGGTGGTCACGTAGGAGTGTCGTCAAGTTGTTTCTTTCCATCTCTTGTTTCTCTTTGTCTTTAATTGTTTATATATAGTTCTCCCCGTTTGCGATGACTTTAAATAGTGGAAATTGTTTGTTGTCTATGGGTAAAGCATATTTAGGACCCAGAGAAAGAAGCCACTGAATATCGGTTGGAATTTGTATGCTAGTCGTGTTACGGATCCATTCTGGTATCACCCTAATGTTTAAATGTAATTAGTGTTTACATACGACAATACTCTGAGAAGTATATTTAGCAACACGAAAGACAAAATTCCCAAGCATGAGAAATCTGATGTAGTATACAGTATTCCATGTAATGGCGACGGGTCCCACGTATGCAAACAAGTATATGTGGTGACAACCAAATCAAAACTTAAGACAAGGATTTCCGCTCACAAATCGAACGTAAAATTAAGGAACACTTACTCGGACAACAAGACGGCCTTGTCATCCCACTGTAAAGACACGGGACATTACCCTGATTTTGATAATGTGAGTGTCTTAGAAGAAGAGAAAAATTACCACAAACGCTTTATATTAGAAATGATCCACATTGTGA